ACAAAGATAAGATAATGTATTTGGAATGAGAGTAATAAAATAACTAAGACATAAACCAAAAATAAAGTCACCTAGTAGTGATGAATTAACATGGTACATGCAAATCTTCAGTATTATTGACTGTTTGAAATTCTTTATATTGGATAATTAAATGAATTCTTCATATAAAAGGATTTTGCTTGATCTTTTATGCAAAATAATTTTTCTTCTCGTCTTTGAAAATGACATCCACCTAAATAAGAACAAGCAAATATTATCTGTCCAGAGTTTATTATAGTAAATAAGTCATCATCTGCATTTGGCAGAGACTCAAAGGTAAACAGAGGACTGGGAATGCTTCATAGTGGGGAAAACATGGCAAGCTTCCAGTATGCCCTGATTGGAGATGGTCTACATGCATAAGAAAATGAAAGATAGGGCTAACTTAGAATTTAGGTCTGCTCTGTGATTGGCTGGGGAGCATATTGGCTTTTTGTGGTTGCCATATGTTAGAATCAGAGTCAAAAATTATGGAAGCTAAAAGTAATTGATTTCTTCCATTTGTAAGCAATTGCTATAGAGGATTGTAGCCTGGTTTCCTGGACTAATTGATACAGATTGTGAGAGTTATATTTTAAAATATGATTTGGGGATGAGCACTAAGTTAAGATGCTTTGGATACCTGCAATCCATATCAGAGTGCCTGAATCACATCTCACCTCTGCTTCCAAACTAGCTTCCTGTTAATGTGCATGGGAGACAGCAATGGAAGCTGAAGTATTTGGGCTTCTTCCACATATGTGGAAGACCCAGATGGATTTCCTGGCTCCAGGCTCAACCTAACTCTGTTCCCACTGTTTCACACATTTATTCAGTGAACCAGCAGGTGGTCTCTCTCTCTCTCTCTCTCTCTCTCTCTCTCTCTTTCTCTTTCTCTCTTTCTGTCTCTTTCTCTCTCCCCCTTGTTTGCAAAAACTTTTTAAAAATATCATCTGGTTATTATACATTGCATATTTTGGTCATTGGTTCACATCCTTTGTCTGACAGATATTACTTCAATGCAATTTTAATTCATAGTAGTTTTTAGTAGTACCAGAAGAAAACAGACTAGTCTTACTTCTAGGAATATACATTCAATATGACCATTCTTTATTTTAGATTGAAGGTAAAGTTGAAATGCTTCAAGCTCACAAATGCATAGATGTACATATGCAAAAACTCAGAACAAAAATGAACAAAAACAGCAAACATTCAAATAAATAAAGACCCTACATTTTTTCTTTTTTTGACAGGCAGAGTTAGACAGTGAGAGAGAGACACAGAGGGAAAGGTCATCCTTTCCATTGGTTCACCCCCAAAATGGCCGCCAGGGCAGGTGCTCTGGGCAGATCCGAAGCCAGGAGCCAGGAGCTTCCTCCTGGTCTCCCAGGCGGGTGCAGGGCCCAAGCACTTGGGCCATCCTCCACTGCCTTCCTGGGCCACAGCAGAGAGCTGGACTGGAAGAGGAGCAACTGGGACAGAATCCGGCACCCCAACCAGGACTAGAACCTGGGGTGCCAGCACTGCAAGGGGAGGATTAACCAAGTGAGCCATGGCACCGGCCAAGACCCTACATTTTAAAGACTTTACTTCTTTATTTGAGAGGTAGAGTTGCAGACAGTGAGAGAGACAGAGAGAAAGGTCTTCCATATGCTGGTTCGCTCCCTAAATGACCACAACAGCTAAAGCTGGGCCTATCCAAAGCCAGGAGCCAGAAGCTTCCACTGGGTCCCCCATGTGGGAGCAGAGGCCCAAGTGCTTGGGCCATCTTCTACTGCTTTCCCAGGCCACAGCAGAGAGCTGGATGGGAAGAGGAGGAGCCGGGACTCAAACTGGCGCCCATATGGTATGCCGGCACTGAATACAGAGGATTAACCTACTACAACACAGTGTTGGCCCGACCTTACAGTTTAGAAAGAAAAGTGAATCACCATGGCTTTGTGTTTCTGATCTAAAGTACCAAGTTTCTACTTTTTTTATTGCATAGATATACATTGTCAAGCAGAAATATCTTACATTAGATAAAGGTTGTGGATGGAAGTTGACATTTTACTTGTTTTTAACAAATGTATATCATGCTATGTATTAACATTTGTGGCAATTCTATTAGGGGCAAAGCACTGTAGTTGCCCAGCCTTCAAAGATTTCATCTTCCATCAGGGTCAACAGGAAAGAAGCAATGCAAAACCTGTGAGCATAGACAGTGATAAATTTCCATCTATATGTTGCATCATGAACCAAATTGGAAGCTATCCTAACCCACACACAGAATGTGAGTGGAGAGGAACTATTGCTAAGGATAGAGTCTAAAAAATAAGCAGGCTTTAACAAGTTCAAGGAGAGGGGGAGCAATGCAGGCAGAAATGAAAACAATGCATTGTATCAGGGGAGAAGTAGGACAATGAGCTGAACAGATGTCAGGGTGTTTTAAAAAATTCATCATTGCACTGGATGAGGTTAACAAGGTTAGTTGTACCCAATTACAAAGGACCTTATAAACCCATGTTAACTAATTTGAAGCATATTTTGTAGAGAATACCTCTTTTTTCTTTGACAGGCAGAGTTAGACAGAGAGAGAGAGAGAGACAGAGAGAAAGGTCTTCCTTCCGTTGGTTCACCCCTCAAATGGCTGCTATGGCCAACGCGCTGTGCAGATCTGAAGCCAGGAAGCAGATGCTTCCTCCTGGTTTCCCATGTGGGTGCAGGGCCCAAACAATTGGGCCATCCTCCACTGCCTTCCCGGGCCACAGCAGAGAGCTGGACTGGAAGAGGAGCAACCGGGATAGAATCCAGCGCCCCAACCGGAACTAGAACCCTGGGTCCCGGGGGTGCTGCAGGTGGAGGATTAGCCTAGTGAGCCACTGTGCCAGCCTATACCTTTTCAATTTCTATCCAAACCTTTTGTTCAAACAGTATCTAACCAGAGATCTAATATTTAATGACATGAAAACAATCCCTTATGCATTCAACAATATGAGTCACTTGGTCACATTAAGCATTAAGTACAAATGAGAACACTACAATGAACCCCAAAATTAATAGCTTCAGTATATAACATTTCTAAGATTAATTTTTGTTGCCCACTATCAAAATAAAGCTTGAAACATAGGTCTTATTTTTTGTAATGGTATTCAGCTCTTATTAAAGATAAGCCTTATCTGAGGATCTGGGCAGAGAAAGAAAGAGTTTAAATCTAGCAAGCACTGATATTAACAAGCTGACCAGGGATGGGTCATTCAGGTGAGTTTCCCAGTCAGGGTACGGATTGGTAACATTTCACCAATAAACTTCAAATACTTTCTTAACATCTCTCAATGACAAAATGTTATAGGGTGCTGGTTTTTTTCTTAGGAAACACTGTGTTTCTTTATATTCATGTGGGGAGCAACTCGGACTAGACTAAGTTACTGGAATTAAGACTTATTCTATGCATCTGCTCTCCCACAATATGGCGCTGGGAGAGGAGTAAACAAATTTTACACAGCTGCCTCCAGTTCGACCAATAACCTGCAAGAGCTGATCCTGCTCCTGATTGGAGGAGAGCAGCGTACTCGGCGTGTGGGTAGCAGAGTTGGGATTGGTGGAAGAGGACTATAAAGGAGGAGAGAGACAACATGCACCAGGAACATCTATCTGAAGGAACACCTGAGCAGCCCCCGAGAGAGCCGGCCAGCGGTGTGCCGCTCGCCCGCGGAAGTGGGGAAAGTGGCAGGGGGAACCTCCCTTCCACGGAGGTGGAAGGACGGCAGCCAACCCGGGTAGGACCAGCAGCAAACCCGGGAAGGGCCGAGCAGACAAAAGAATAGCGCAGGGTCCTGTGTCGTTCCTCCACGAAGAGGGGGAGCGACAATTCAAAATATTTTATTAGCTAGTAAGAAAGTCCAAATCTGGGTATTTAAGTGAAAAAGAGAAATTATCGGAAGACACGAGGCTCATAGCTTTGATTAGAAAGTGGAAAACAGCTTGAACGATGCACAGGGACCAAGAAAATTCTAAAGTCTATTCAAAAAGAAGTCAACCCTTCTACCAGCAAGGACAGTCTGTTCAGAATGCTGCCAATGTACTGCAGAACACACATTCGACTTCAGGGACTACTGTCACTGTTCTTTTTAGCTGAGCTCAAGTCCTGGGACCATCCCTGGTTCCCTGGGATTGGGAGGAGGATCTTCCCTTAAGCCTTACACATTGGGAAGACAAGCAATGGCAGCTGACAAACAGAATGGGAAGACTATCCTTGAAACTTAGAACATGGCAATCACCCAGTGGTGGAAGAGAAATATCTTGAAGGGTTTCTCTGAAACTCAGTAGGGAATGGTGGCTTGGTGTATTCTGTGTGTACTGAGAGGTCACTTTCTATTTCCTCCACAACACCCTAGAGAAGTCACAGGACATGAATAGAGATAGCTAACTGAATGAAGGTTGGTCATCAGATAGTCTGCCCTTTGGCTTACAGTGGAGAAATGACCAAAGTTGGCATGATGGCAGTAAACATCTGCGTTGGTTGGGACAGCATCTTCTTGACCACATGGGAGTTTGCTGCCAAACTGCACTGAATTTCTGAGGGAATCAATCCTTGAGTCTTTTGCATTCCAGCTTCTCAAACATCCCTAGGGAAAATAACTCAGTGGATAAGTAATCAGAGAAGCTCACAGAGTTTACAAGTAAAGAAATAAATCATCATAATTCCAAGAACTAGTAGGCAATACTCATAGCACATTACACATTCAATTCATTTGTTACTCATATCTTCCTGTGTAATACGTACTAAGATTAGCCTGCATTTTATATTTAAGGTAGAGAAACATTAAATAATGTGTCTTGATTCATACATAAAGGGCAGAACCAGTTTTGAAATCCCAAGCAATCTACTCCCAAGTCCATGTGTGTGGCCTATATGCTATACTTAGGTTAGGACTAAAATTGATATCAACTACATTTGCATAAAAATAGTCTATCATTCATACCTGAATAACATTACTTACCCATATTCATGAAGAAAAGTGGCTAATATTTCTCAAATTTTGGCTCATTGTTCAAACATACTTCAAAAAATTTCTGAAAAATGAAATTAAAAGATAAAATTTCCTTTTGTATATTGAATTCTTTCTGCCTGTGTGTGAGAAAAAAAAATTCCCATTAGTCTCTTGTCCTTATTTCCTCTCTAGTGTTCTTAGAAATTGTTCAAGTCAAACTACTTCCTGAAAAACATATTAAAGATTTAAATACAAGGAGAGAAGAATTTAGTCATTTTTTTCTCAGTAGAGAAAACTAGGTCACTTGGGTAGAGTTTGTGGTGACAGGCATAACTAATCTGAGGATACTTCTGGCAACAGTTTCCTCCCGTAGTACTATGTCCTGTTATATGGGTTGTAATTGACGTTGAATTAATTCAACATAATTTAATATATACAATAAAATATCCCATGAAAACTCACATTTAAATATGAATTAACTAGTGATTGCTTCCTATGCTTAGCCCAGCTCTTGTTCTCAAGTGTTATGCTAGTAGACAAAATTCCGTATTGTTTGGAGAATGAGTCAGGGCTCCATATTCCACAGATTCCGTATCCCAAGATAACCTCTTTATCTCACAACTGAATTTTTAGATCCTATTTATTTCATTTCAATGATACCTATGCTTATGGTTAGTTTTACTCATTACTTCAGACACGACAGGTTAACAACTCCAGTATTACTTATTTCATATAAAATTCTATTCAGAAATTCACATTTCAAATATAGCTACTGTAAGTAACAAGATTCTGTTAACTACTTAGGGCATATTATTAGCATTATTAATCTCAAAAATACCCAAAGGGCATCCATTGATGAGAAAATTTTAAAAAATCCCACAAAATCAAGAATAAAGGAGCTCAGGGTTCTACCTATTCTAGGAGCAGAATCCTCAGCTTGGGATTCTGAGATAGGCCTGTTTATAGCAAGCAACATATGTATCCTCTGCCTGACCAGAGATTTAGCTGACTTCTGATAAAGTTCACGTTTGCCTGGAGTGATTTTTTTTTTTTTTTTGCAAAGTACAAGGACAGAAACCTAGGACTTCAAATTTTTAGAAGTCGTAGTATGGGCTGGCGCTGTGGCTCACTTGGTTAATCCTCCACCTGCAGGGCCGGCATCCTATATGGGCACCGGGTTCTAGTCCCAGTTGCTCCTCTTCCAGTCCAGCTCTCTGCTGTGGCCTGGGAAGGCAGTGGAGGATGGCCCAAGTGCTTGGGCCCTGCACCTGCGTGGGAGACCAGGAAGAAGCACCTGGCTCCTGGCTTCAGATTGGCGCAGCACCAGACATAGCAGCCATTTGGAGAGTGAACCAATGGAAAACCTTTCTCTCTCTCTCTCTCTCTCTCTCTCTCTCATTGTCTATAACTCTACCTGTCAAATAAAAAAAAAAGAAGTCATAGTACAACTTTTTATAATTTCTGCTAATAGATATTTATATGTGTGATAGAATTTGATCCAAGGTTCCTGTTCATTTTTAACACCTTCCATTGCAGAGAAAGGAGAATCAGAAATCTATAGACCTTAGGTACCTCTAAAAATTGGAAAGTATGCATGGTCCTCAAAAAAAGGCTCAAATCAAACAAAATAGTTATATTAATTTGCAGCAGGACTATGGCTGGGTCTTGCACTTAGGCCTATGCTAATTATAAAAATACTTAACAAAGTTAGCTCAATAGCCGTGCAAATTAGTTTTTGTTCTACTTTGTTTTAGTTGTTTTCATTTTAGATAATGAAATATTTTGTGGAAAAAATAATATATATATATATGTAGTTTGCTGGTGATATAAAAATTTCTTTGCAGAAAGCAAAGTTTATTGTAATCGTAGAGTAGATTTTCCTTCTCAGGAAGTTTTAGTGCCCTTTTATCAAGGCATCATGAGCAGCCATCTGGTGGCCTGCACTTAATCTGTCACCAATGTCAAGGAGTTAAAAATAAGTGTTATTAAAATGTATTTAAGATTTTAAAACAGGGACTGGCATTGTAGCATAGTGAGTAAAGCCACTCTTGACAGCACCAGCATCTCATTCAGGTACTGGTTTCCACCTCAGCTGCTCCTCTTCCTACTCAGCTTCCTGCTAATGAGCCTGAGAAAGCAGCAGAAGCTGGCCCAAGCACCTGGGCCCCCTACACCCACTTGGGAGACCCAGAAGAAGCTTGCTCCTGGCTTCAGCCTGGCCCTGCCTGGGTGTTGTAGCCATTTGGGAGAGTGAACCAGTGGATGGAAGACTGTCTGTCTGTCTGTCTCTCTCTCTCTCTTTCTCTCCTCCCTTCATGTAACTCTAATTTTCAAACAGATAAAAATGCTTCCAAAACAGATGGAGCATTATAACAATTTTAAACTAAAATTGTAATGGAACATTGGCAGAACAAAAGTTTGAAAGCTATTAATGAGCTATTAATGTAGATGAAGGGAAACTACCAAAAATTTTAAGGAATGTAATGGCCCTCTCAGATTTATATGTGAAAGATGTACAGTATTGATGGTAGTTGAGAGAGGATGGATGGAAACATTATTTGGGTAGTAAGAAATGCAAGGATCTCAATCATTTTCTTATCTTCTAATTCTACTTTGGTCTTTCCTAAAAACCCATCAGATGTTATAGAATCCACAAACTTGCGTTTATTCACCCAGTGCCTCCTTAGCCAATCACTGACAGACTCCATGGTGATAAAATAAATGAATAAATAAATAAAGTGGGTATTTATTTGCATAGTGCAGAGCAAGCAATACCGGTAGTTACCACTTAATTCCTGACTTCCTGAATGGTTAAGGGTAAGGAATTTTATAGATTTATGTTAGCGTTGAAGGTGCTTACCCAACTCCTGTGCATGTCTGTGTTTTGTCCATGAAGTTGATTGGTCAGTGAAAGGACATACCCATTGTATTCTTTAGGGAATTTTGATAATGGTAATGTGGGTTCCAGTTAGTCTGGAGGTGGTAGTTACTTTTTGCTCAAGACCTGGGTTCCTGAAAAATCCCTCAAGATAAGACCTAACATAAAAATATTATCTACAGAGGAGATAAATAACTTCATGAATCTTGTGACTTGATATCTTATGGGACTGGTTTGACCTTATGCCACTATTCCCTCAAGTCACTTGAGTAAAATTAGTAAGATGTCGATTTGCAGCCATCAAATCCAGACAAAGAAACTTTTTTGTTATCTACTTGAAAGTTACTATAGAGAGACTAGGCTTTAAGATTGGCTAATGTTTCCACTGAAATTGGCTGCTCAGTGTAATGGTGAGGAACATAGACCTCTATTTAAATCCCAGATCAGGAATTTACTTTTTTGGTGGGGAAAATCACTGAGCCTCATTATCTCTCATTTCCTTAACCTATAAAGATGCAATAGGTTCTACCTCACAAGTTCAACATTCAAGACAAAAGGAAAACTGTAAATGCCTGTACAAAAGTAGTAGAATAGTAAAGAAGTAAAGGGGAGGCGATTGCATGAGCTGATCAGTACCTGCTGTTCAGCCAAACAGGAGGAGCTAAGTGCAGCTCTCTCACCACATGAGTCCCCGTACATCCTTAGCTCTGTGTCTACCTGGGTGGAAGGGTAAGATGCCTCCTGCGAAAAAAGCAAGCCAAGTTTTTCTCTTTTCTCTCAAATTAAGACTGAGAATGAAATTAATTATAAGGATGTTAAAACTAACTCACTTGAATTTAATTCCCAATCATACTTAGGAACCAGGATTTTGAGCAGAGAACACATATCTGTGAATAAAATCAAATCTTTCCTGTATTTTAGATGTATTTACATACTGATTCCACTAAAGTAGCTGAAAACATTCTGCTGGCAACCTTCTTTTGTTTGACATTGTAAGCATCCCAAGGGGGAAAATGCTCTATTTAAAATTATTTTAGTACAATGAATATTTTTCATCTAATAATATTTTTGTTACATAATAGTAATGATAAATTACACTGACCTTTCATCGTCTCCAAGAGCAGACAATCTCAGTTTGATCTTATTTTTGTAAGAGTAGTGTTAAATTTTCATCTCTTTTGTTGCCATCATTCATCTTAGTCCTGAGTTGTTATCTAAATGGTTACTGAAAAATTCAATATCTCATTGTGACAGATTATTATCTATTATTATTTTGTATAATCTACAAAACTTACTCTTATTTTAATATCAATATTATATATAATTATAATATAATACAAGAAGTGAATATAACCAATTATGCTCATTTCTTACTATAATACCCATGTAGGATCACAATCTGGCTTCACCTCCCGCTATATCCAGAATGCCTTTGGATGTCTTTCAACAGCTATTTATGATTACATTGAGAGATAATATGATTAATGTAGCAGTCAAAGTTCCATGTGAGATTGAACATACTTGCCATTCTAGCCCAAGGATAAAAATTTTGTGTAAGGTTCCAAGTTTTAATTTTTCAGTTGGACTGAGATGGTTGAAAATGTCTGATAAAAAATTTTTCCTCACTGAAATATAAAAAACTCTATTTGTAAATGTTCAATTTCACATTAAGATTATAGTTTCAACATTCCCAAGGTAAATGGCTACTATACATATAATCCAGGCTTCAATTTCTTAACTTCATTCAACAAACATTTACTGAGAGCCCAAAAGTTGGCAGGTACTATTCCAGGCATGATAGCAAAGATCACCATTGCAGACGAATTTCCTGCCTTCCTGGAAGGTTACAATTTACCCAAATTGTGGGGACGCACTGAATAAAGAAATAAATGCAGAAAATCTGTATTGTGGCAATCGGAAACAGTGATTTTGAGCTAAATAAAGTGTGGAAAGAAAGTAAGAGAGTAGGAAGAGAGGTTATATCTTAAGCAGTATGTCCAGGGAGCTGTGAACTTGCAAAATATGTGAGCAAGAGCTGAATGGTGAAGGGAAGGAAACCATGAGATGCCAAGACATTGTATTTCAGGCAGGGACAACAGAAGTTATAGCCAGTGTGTCTGGTAGTGTGGAAGAAATTGCAAGGAAGTCAGTGTGGCTAGAAGGCAGTGGGCCCATAGAAGAATAGAAGGAGTTCAGAGAAAAGAATTAGCAAATGAGAAGAGCAAATAATGGGGAAAAAGGTGGAAGTGTAGGTGTGGGAAAGAATATCACAAGGTCTAGAACAAGTTAGGAGAGGTACTTTTTAGCCACACAATTATTCTTAAGGGTTTAAATTTTAACTGAAAAGTGATCCCTGTTAGGAATTTGGAAAACATTATGCTGAGTGAAATAAGCCAGTCCCAAAGGGACAAATACCACATGTTCTCCCTGATAGGTGACAACTAACTGAGCACCAAAAAGGAAACCTGTTAAAGTGAAATGAACACTATGAGAAACGGTGACTTGATGAGCCCTCACCCTGCCTGTTGATGAACAACTTAATATGTTATCCCTCTTAGTATTTTTTTTTGTTTGTTCTACTTAATGCTTTTGGTTGAATACTGTAATCAATACACAATTCTTCTTAAGTGCTGAAACTTAACTGAAAAGTGATCACTGTTAAATATAAGAGTGGGAAT